CCTGCTTATTATTGACGCTAAATTCAGAATGAACTAATGATGCAATCCGTTGAGGGCATCAGGAGACAGCTGGCCCAGACCTGGGAGGTAACTCAAATGACTAAGCTTATACTTAACTTAATGAGAAAAAGCTGGCATGTGATTAATGTATCACTACTACTTCTTAAGCACTAGAAGTCAGGAGCCCTGCTGTCACTGTGCTAACCACAAGGACCCTGGTTAAAACCCAACAGCTGCTCCAAGGGAGAACATGGAGGCCATCTGCCCCCATAAAGTTTCATGAAGCCTTCACAACCCTGTAAAGGGTCACTTTGCGTTGTAATTGACTCCATGATGACTAGTTTTTTTAAAAATAAATCATTTTATTGGGGCTCTTACAGCTCTTATGACAATCCATACATCCATTGTATCAAGCACATGTGTACATAGGTTGCCATTTGGTTTTTGAAAAGACTGCTAGGAATCCGTGGGTAGCACAGATGGTTCAGTGATGGATGAATAACGAAAAGGGTAGCAGTTCAAGTCGACTCACACTGAAATGAAACCAGCTGGTGATTCGTTTCCAAAAGCTCTTAGCTTTGAGAATGGAATGCAATTCTCCACTGCACACCTGGGGGGTCACTATGAGTCAGAATCAACATAATGGCAACTAACAACCCTGTGTAAGCTACAAGATAGGGTTCTATTAAACAAAAACGCAACGGGTCATCAGAGCAACATGACTAAACGAACTTTCATGATGTTCTCAAAGATTTCAGGGAGGGGTACTCTGTGCGGAGAGTGAAAGGGAGAATCATGAATCTCGACAATCACTAACATTAACTAAATGCTGAATATGTGGCAAGCACTCTTCCAACCGCCTCAACCCCAAACCCCCTTCGGAGGAGTCCTTTCTGATTCACAGCGACCCGAGAAAAACCCACTGTCATTGAATCTATTTCAACTCACAGCGACTCCATTAAAAAAAAATCGCTGCCATTGAATCGATGCCGGCATATCGTGAGTCTATAGGACAGGGTAGAAGTGTCCTTGCGATTGACTGTAATTGTTTATGGGCTTAGAAAGCCTCATCTTTCTCCCAAGAGGCTGCTGGTGGTTTTGAACAGCTGACCAGGTGGATCACAGCCCAATGCAAAGCGACTTACTGCTGCTCAGGTTTCAAAGACTGTAGACCTGTAAGAAAGCAGATCACTGCCAGTGGACCACCAATCGTTCAGTTAGCAACTGAGTGCTAAACAACTGAGCCCTTTGTGAGTGCCTGAAACACCGTGGTTCCTTGTCATCAAACGTCCGTGAAACGGTTGATGTTAGCTTCGGTTTTTCATCGGTAGAGTTGGGATACTGAGAGAATGAGGTCTAGAAACTTGGCAAAGAACTCACAAACCAGTCATTGCAGCGTCGGGATTCAAACCTACACGTTCAAGTTCCAGACATGTACTTTGAACAATGAGGTTAAGGAGAACTTGGAGAAGATGTAGTTAACATAGAGGAACCAGAAAAAGAGGGAAACTATTAAGAGGGGGAAAAAGAAATAAAACGATATGAATCGGGTGTGTGTGCGTATTCTTCCACTCCCCAAACAGGTTCATAAATATGCTTTGAAAATTAGCTTTGATCATATATCATGTATTTTTGTATTAGAATACACAACATAATTATATATACACATATCATGGCAGTATATGTGTGGAAGTATTTTTCTACATATTAACAAATACGAGCAACAATATGTTAACATTTTTTGGAATGCAAAAAACATGGTAAAATTTGACCTTTTCCAAAGATTCTCAGGGATAGTGTACTTTCTGAAGAAAGTTAAGGGTAAATGTCAGTTGGTTGAATCACAGAATATTGAAAAGGTTAAGGCAGAAGCAAAGCAATGCCATGGTTCTTTTGGCTCAAAATATGATAATAAATAAATGTTCTTTTGAACAAATCTGAAGAAATTGTTCTTATGGTAATATGAAAGTCTATTTTCATAGGCAAGACATAATCAGTATAGAACACAGGGTGGTGAAGTTCAAGATACACTTAATAAATGTCATTATCAAGATTTTCTCTCATGATTTAGAAAAAAATATTAATGTTCTGTGAGTTTCCCTAAGGACAGACCTATTCAACTACCCTTTACAGGCTGTTCCTATAGTTTATTAGTGGACAAATTGGAAAAGCTTTGTGATTTTCAGAATGGGCATGAGAAAAGACAAACGTTTCTCCTCGCTTTTGTTTCCAGGTAATATTGTACTTAGGAATATGAATATTATGCCGGTTATGAATATGCAATCCCCAGAATAGGAATAATCACCAAATAAGCTGACTATTTTATTCATAATTTCCATGAAAGTTTGAAAAATATGAAGCAAATTTCTATGATACATTAATATTATGTGAGCTAATCATCCAGTAAATGGCACTCATATTAAATACCCATCATAGAGTTGGCCAGTATCTTAACCGACTTATTCAATTGTATAAAAATCTCTAGAGTAGTCTAGTCTACATGACATTTTTGTGACTCGTTAATAGGTATTATCATGAAATTTCATCCTGAGGAAGTGTTCTAAAAAGTGCAGAATGCGAAATCTTTACAGTCCTGGCTAAACACAGAATAAAGGGGACAATTCAAGTGACCCTTCAAACGACTCAAGAAAGATGCACTCACCTTTCAAGGAGTTGTGTTGTTCTTGTCACCTCGGGTCTTCACATACAAGTCAGGACTCAGGCCATGTGTCAACATTGCAACCGTCACCTAACATTTCAGCTTTCATCCAGTTTATTGTACACAGTGTTTGATTTACCTGGAAGCATCACTGAGGACCACACGGGGCTCCTGATACAAAACAGAAGTTGGGATCCGGATTTCATGTTCGTTTCTGCCTCCTCACTGATTCAGCCTGTGCCCCTCACATCAAAGTGCACACCCTAGATCAACTCCCATCCAGTACCAGCCAGCAGAGCTGATCTGCCTAGCTCTCATAATCCCTGATGCACACACAGGGGATGGAAGAAGGCTTCCGAGTCGATATAAACACCATGTTGCTTCTTAAAATCTAAATCGCTGTGGGCGATGGTAGAAGTTGTTTCTTGGAGAAACACCATCTGTGGCTCATCTCTTCTTTGGCATGAAGTTAGAAATTGGTCCTGGCGATGATTACATTAGGGGACTGGTCAGTACAAACAGTCTGGTAGGAGAACACTAATAGATTCGCATTTTAATGGAGTGTTTGGTTTCTAGAATTCACATCATGGGAAGGCCCTCTGTGAGTGTAATCATCCTAGATGGGTAGGGTACTGTTGCTGGGTGCCATTGAGTTCATGCTGACTCACAGCAACCTTATGCATAACAGAAGGAAGCCCTGCCCAGTCCTGCACCAGCCCCACAATTGTTATGTTAGTATTCATTGTTGTCATCATTGTGTCAATCCAGTTTATCGAAGGGAGGAAAGGCTGCCCAGAGAAATCAAACGATTGGCCTCTGAGTGAATCTGTCTCCTCATGGTGCCACAACCTTTGAGTTAATTGCTTCTATCTGAAGAGCCCCCAGAGTATAGCATACTCATGTCCAGCACTTGGCCATTCTTAAAGTGTGCCCAATCCTAAATATATCTTTATCTCTTTCTCCTCCTCTTCTTCCTCCTCCTCCTCTTCCACTTCCTCCTCCCCCTTTCAGACTTGTAACCCTCTTGTAGTTAACTCTCTTCTTTACCCATAGCCTTTCTTGATTAATGTTAGCATATCTTTCTGCACATGGTATGTAACACAGATGTACGACAGGCACAGTTCGTCTTGTCCCACCTAAAATTGGAAACATGACTATATAAGATGATCATTGCAATGCAATATGGCCAATTAAAACAAAACATAAGGTGAGACCTTTGTAGTGGGGCAGGACTGGGTTTCATATCTATTGCAATGCAATATGGCCAATTAAAACAAAGCATAAGGTGAGACCTTTGTAGTGGGGCAGGACTGGGTTTCATATCTATATCTGGCACTTTTTGTAATTGACTTATCCTCCAAAAGCCAGAGTTTTCTCACTTCTAAAACAAGGATAGTTATAGAACCCACATCAGGTATTTTGGGAAGAATTAAATTAGGTTAATGTAGATAACGCAGGGAAAGCTCATCTCCGGGTGCCTGGCACAGGGTAGGTACTCAGAAAACATTTTTGAAATTGTATTAAATCTCCTTCCTCGGTTTGGTTGCCAATCCTTGGAGTTCTGATACTCCTTTTCTGTCCCTCTTAATCTCTGGAAATTGTTTTAGCCAATAATAGTAGATGCTGTGATTTGGGTTTTTTATGCCTAGTAAAATCAATTTTCATTTGTACAGTCCCTCAGTTTCAAAGTACTAAGGGCGTCAAAGAATAAGACGTGGCATTGGTGTACAAAGCTGGAAACGCTTCATTCGTTGGCGGTGGCTCTGCAGTGAGGAGTGGGCAGGACAGGACGTCTGCAGCAGCTGTGTGGTCAGTAAAACCGTCCAGCTCTCCTGCTCGCTTTCTCTTAAGAGTTAAGCCTCGCGGAAGCATCAACATCCTATCCACAAGGAGAAATACGATGAAGAGCGTGATGTGGATAAATACATCTCATTTCATTAAACCTCTTACTCAAATGTTAGGCTGTGACATAAATACAGGCTTTCAATCCAGCAATCTTGAGACTTTCATCATATGAAAGTAGGTATATTTAGCAGTATGTCTTTATTAAGCGCCTGTTGGAATTTAAAATTTTTTCACCTTCCAGTTTAAAGTGAGATTAGGAGATGTCACCTCCGCTGAACTTAGTGACAGGCATCACTTACAGGGTAGTGCCATTTACTGAGGAACTCAGAGTCATGCCTTGGCATCTCCTGAAACTTCATCACTTGACAAGTCAATCCAACTGAAAGGACACTCAAGGACCCGAACTTCTCTTCTAGAGTCGTCTGGGTTGGGTCTATGTGCTATCATAGAACAGTCTTTGACATCAAGGCAAAGTTCTTACATGGCACAGAACACAGACTGTGTGAATGTTTGGTTATTTTAATTTTATGAAAGTACATTTGATATGAGGCTGATTTTTACAATTTCTGATTCAGATATTATCACAAAACATTTGAAAACAGATCTTTTCTGTACCACTAATTAACTCTTCAAAAAGCAACACCCACAAGTACAAAATTGCTGAATAAAATTTTTCAGTCACATTTTCTGATCTGGATACATACAGTTCTTTGATTCAAACTCAGTCAAGATTGGGGCTACACTGATTTCCTATGATTTTCTTTTATCTTTAAGATGAAGTTTGAAAACTGCATCCAAAGCCTCCTTTCATGGAATTTACAGAAGCACTTCCAGATAATGCCCCGCATCGTCGAAATGCTGATAATCTTTGGGCAATTGAACACATGAACCTTAATTACTCACTTTTAGAATCTTCAGATATTTCCTAACAGCATTAGAAAGTAATAACACCTTCTTGGCTCATGAGTACAAACTGTATTTTATTCATATTTGGGAGGGAGTTAAGACATACTGGGACAGAAAGTTATTGCAAGTTCCTAAGCTTTTACTTTTCCCTTCTACATCCCATAGCCGCATGTGAAAATACACCTTCCAATAGCCAGATGACACAAAATTGTTCCATGATCGGGCCAAAATAACTCCATTGTTTTTTTGTGTGTGTGGTTTTGATACTTCTCCAAGAAAAGGCTCATATTTGTTCAGTAATGTTGTAGTTACAATTGAAAATTTTAACAAAGAGCTTACGTGTGTCCCCATTAGCTGAAAACATTTCAGACAAACATTTATTGCACATGTGCACATACATGCACATACACACACACACACACACACACACACACACACATAACTGGACCATTGTCTGAGGTTAAGTGGAGGAAACATTTTTATGTTCAGAAAATTTAGGAAAGATGTAAGCCCATTTTGTATATATTTTAATACTATTATTTGGAGGGATAAGCAGGAAAGCTGATGATTAAACAAAATTTTCTGAAGAGCCTGCGAATGTTTTTTGGCCAGATTTCAGGACAGGAAGTCACCAGTCTCCAATCCTTGGACCAAGAGAGGAGGTGGTGGCATCTTCTCAAGGAGAAGTGGCATCTTCTCACGGAGAAAAGTGCCACCTGGAGAAGTTAGATCCGCTTCCCACCAACCGAGCAGCTTCTCAGCTCTTGACTGCAGCGCAGTCCCACCAGCGCAATAGTTACACGAAGAAAACAAGCACCAAACAGGTGGTGACAATTCTCATCACAATCTGCAAACCTTCACCTGAATCTTGCAATTTAACCACCAAAAACCTCCGTTCACTGTGATAGAATGATCGCTATCTTAATGAAAAGGAGAGCACACTGGCACTTAAAAAAATAAATCAGAAAGTAATGTGGCCTTAAGTGGACAAATAAATATGACTGTCTAGGGAAGTCTCTGCGTTCATTATCTATTGCTTTCTTCTTGATGTGGTTCCACTGAGAGTTTCTCCCCAAGTTTTCTAATAAGTTCTGCTAAGTCTTCTGTATTCTGAGATTTTTCTTCAAGAAGTTCGTAGCGCAGGCTTGAGATATCTTGTTTAATTTCCTTTAGTTCTCCTTTAAAAAATAAGAGTGATAAGACAGTTATAAATACATAATGCATAGAAACTAGTAGTCCTGGGATAGGTTGAAAATACCCCTTAAAGCGCACATATCGATATTTGGAAATTTTTCAATGGACATCGCTTCCTAAAGAAGTAGTTTTCCATTTTCTCAATGAGCTGTATCAGGAAATGAAAATATTATAACAGAAGCCCTCCCCAAGTACTTGAAAGGGAAGGTCAGTGGAGAATGTTGCATGGTGGAGCCGTTAGTGCCTTGTCTCCTCAACTGCATCTTCATCCTACCCAAACAATTGTTATTTGTCTAGCAAGTGACAGCTGCCCTCAACTCCGGGATTAGTGATGTCATCCTTTCTTCCCTCCCCCTTCCACGCCCATCTCTCTAGATGTCCTTCAGCTGTTTGGAGCCTGAGGATCTGGCTCTCCCTCAGAGGCAGGCTCACTTGTCCCTGGGTTCAACTCACCTTCATTCACTTCATCGCTCTCCTTATCAACCTGGGCTTTCAGCACATATCTTTTAATGAGCCTCTTCATTATTTTCTAGAGAGAAAGGAGAAGTCCATCTCAGTTTTACTTCCGTGTGTTAGGTGGAAAAAAGATCAATGAGTCAATGAGAGCAAACAAGGTTTATTGACTATGAAATTGCTTCCAAAGCAGAAGTACACCAAACTGGAAAATGTAAGGGGGTTGATTTTACACAATTAAAATTTCCTTTTAAAGCTTAGAGGAACAAGCATCTTGCTTCCATGTGTACTTAGTTGTCACCTCATTTAGAGGTCTGCTGGTTTTAAGATGAACCTTTAAGACCCCAGATGCTCTTCTTTTTGGATAGTTGGCACCGTCTGTTTTCTTCACCACCTCTTCAGTGATCTTTTCATGAGGGTGAGCATCGAGCAGGACTGTCTCACAAGAACTCATTTTTTCTAAGATTGGGGCTAGAATTTAGTTCGAGCCCCGAACCCATTCACATCTTTCTAATTTATATCAAGAGTCTCTGGTTCACTAGTAATTATTTTTGGGTGTAGTGGTGGCTCGGTGACAAAACTGGTCATTGCACCTCATAGGCAGCCATTATCCCTCTGAGAGGGTTGCTATGATACTGAACAGGTTTTAGTGGAGTTTCCAGACTAAGAGACTAGGACAAAATGACTGGTGGTCTACTTCCAAAAATTAGCCAGTAGAACTCAGTGGATCACTATGGTCTATTCTGCAACTGAGCCTGGGGCTGGTGCAGGACCGGGTGGGGCTGTGGGCTGTTGTCCATGAGTAGAGGAGTGGGCTCAACTAGGTGGCAGCTAACCACAGCAGTAATGATTTACCTAGAGAACATAGATGAAATGGGTTACATGGATTTCTTGTACAAAATGATGAAACGACCGGTGACGTACACCATGTTCTGGGTTAACATGGATTCAATAATAAAACGGGTTTCTTCTCTTCTACTTTTATGAGGAGTTGATATGGTTTGGCAGAAGACTGGTTTTAATTCTGCCTCTCCAGCCAAGCACAGCGGCCAACATTCTGAGTGGCCCTATGTGCACATTTCCAGTGGAAGTTGTATACAGTAACAGGAATTCGTCTGGTTTCAGTCTCAAACTGAAGATGAGGATCATTTTGCCGGTCACGTCGTGTCACCTGTTGTGCGTCTTTGTTCTTTTTGTTGCTGACATTTCTGTCTAAAATGGCCCCAAATATAGTCCTGGAGTGTTATTTGGAGTTCCTAAATGCAAGCGAGCTATGGCACACAGCAATGTACCGAACTGTATTGCCCCTAAGTAAGAGGCTACTTGACAGAGCTATGATTCTGTGTTTGGGCAGTGATGAAGTGATGTAAATTAACAGCTATGCAATAATGGAATCTTCCCACAACATGTGATAAGATGTAATCAGTCAGTCACTAGTAAGGGGATTACGGTGGAGTGCAGTACCCTTACTTAAGTCACGGCCCTGATGGGACGTAAGTGGAGTCTCCTTGGAGTGTGGTCTGCATCCTTTTTATTTCACAAGAAATACGGAGAGAGAAGGCAGCAGGTGACGGGGCCTCAGTATCACGAACAGAGAAAAGCTGGGAGCAGAAAGCGTCCTTTGGACCCCAAGTCCTTGTGCTGAGAACCTCTTGGGTAGGAGAATGTTGCTGCCAAGACACACGGCACATGAAGGTAGCTGAGGAGCATCTAGCCCATAGATGCTGGAAGGAGCCAAGGGCTTTCCTCCTACGCTGTGAGCCGGCACAGAGAGTAAGACTTTTCCTTTGCCAGAAATGGGCATTTGGATTTCTACCTCTGAAACTGTGACAGAACAACTTTCTGTTGGTGAAAGCCATTCACTTATGGTATATCTGTTTAACTAAGATATAAGCCTTCCAGACAAAACAGTAGCATGTGCTAGTTAAGCTTTGTTCAGGCATAAGCTACAGGCTATGAACTCAATGTTAGCGAACCAACAATATGCAGTCAGTAGAATGTCTTCAAGCAGAAACATACAGAAGACGAGGTTACATATTGATAGGTTGATGAAAATATGTCTAGAGCCTAAACTGCTTTCTCTGGAGCAGGGCTCAGGAAACACTTGAGACAGACAAGCCAATCCTGTCCCTCACAACAATTAAAAAGTGTTCAAGAACCGCACATTTATTTTTACAAACAAATGAAATCACCATTATCTGAACACGAGCCTTTAAACGTGTTATAAGTGAAACTATGATAGTTTGATTTTCACTTTCAGTCTCACTTCAGAGTCACGTGTACATACCGGAAGGGCGGCCTATGACTTAGAAGTCAGCTTGCCAGCCCTGCCCTAGAGCAAAGGTCCCGAATTTATTAATAAAGTTTACAGTAACATCAGAGACTATGACTACTTGAATAATGAGAATCACCTGTACTTTCCATGATAAAGAAAAGTCCCACCATATACACAGGAGGTTATGGATGGATATAAAACTAAACTCAATTTACCATCTAAAACTTAAAATTAAATTGTGGATAATAAGATTCTACTTCTAAAAACTTCGTCTATGGCTAGAAGTGGATAGTTGGACAATTACATTCATTGCCATATTACTTATCATAGTTAAAAAACCTGTGATATCCATTAATAGATTATTTTAACTATCGTAACCCTCATTGCTATCAAGTGAATGCTGACTCATAATGACCCTGTAAGACAGGGTAGAACTGCCCCTGTGAGTTTCAAAGACTGTAACTCTTTACAGGAGTGGGAAGTCCTGTCTTCTGTGGAAAGGTTTGTGGTTTTGAACTGCTGACCTTAGCGTTAGCATCCCAGCATGTAATCCATTATGCCACAAGGGCTCCTTTTTAATGATCATATGTTAATTATAATATATTTATACAAAAGAATATTAACATGAATTTAAAATAATACATTTTGGTGGAGTTAAAAATACAGGCTACAACACTATTACTCATTATATAAGTACTATCTCTAAATATAAACCACACATATATAATATTTAACATATATGTTGCATTTTTTCGATAGCAAATGAGTCATCATTGAGTTGATTCTAACAAGTGGCAACCGTGAGTGTTTCAGAGTAGGGCGATGCTTCATAGAGTTCTGAATGGCTGGGAATGGGAAGCTAAGAGCACTGAGCACACTGTCCTAAAGTGGAGTGTGGTGATGACTATGATTCTTTTTAATGTGACCAAACTGCTGAGTTGTACGATGTATGAACTATACAGCAAGAGAGCTGTTTTAAAAAATAGAAGTCGATCACCAGACTTTTCCTCGTAGGTGCTTTCAATTCGTATACACCACAAACATATAATCCACCCAAAGTAACTGTTTTTATTGCTCAGTGGTGAGACAGGAGGTACATTTAATTGTTTTCTTCGTGCTGTTTCTGTGAGGTGGGACGTGTTACAATGAGCATGTGGGCTTCCTGTGGGCTCCATGTGGCAGTACCTGGTCTTCTTTACTGCTCTGTCTTTGGCACCATCCGAGTCCCTCACACATGGTCTCCGCTCAATAAATACTTAGTGATTGAAAATGATGTTGGGACACAGAAAATTTCTACAAATTTATTTTAAGAATCGCACAATTTGAAAATGTAAAAACTATAAATAGCTGGGCTTATTTTTTTAATGCCATGCTTACCTGATATTGTCTTGGAGAATTATTGAAATTATTTAACTGGAAATCTTCTGAGCTCCTTATGCTAGATTCCTTACTCTGCCCAAGCTGTAATTGAAGAACAATTAGAAATCAATTGTTATTTACTATTCCCTTGGAATAATGTGCTCATTCACTAGCATTACAGTATTACAGACAGAACGAATAAGTATATGTGTGTGTATGTACGTATACTACCACATCTGCTGAACTTATTTAGCATTATGCCAAATGAATGGTACTGCAGGTGTGTTCAATATCCTAATGGCCATTAGACATTGTCTAAGGAGTCTCAGATTTTGTGACCTTCCATCTTTCTCGCATGAAAGAGATACTTTTCCCATAAGAGAGGGGAAAGCAATGAGGTGAGGAGAAGTGCTGGTAAGGAAGGCCCAAAGCGCTGGTGCCTTTGATTCAAATACCCGCACCTGCAGTAGAGTGTGAAGGAAGTATAAATGAGACCCAGGAGAAGCCTGTGATGAGAGAATTCAGGTGCCAGTAGTACCTTAAAGAGTCCATGTGGCTTTTAGATCTGTACAAGATTCTGTTTCGACAGCCCTTTCCACCTCATATATATGCCTGAAAGCATGAAAGCATCCTTCAATAAAAGTAGCAGCACTGTGTGCTAGCAAATCTAAAAGGATATTAAAATCATTTTCTAAGGGGAAAAAATAGCTTTCTGAAGAACTGAGTAGGAACACAGGAGCAAACAGAACCGCTCCTACTGTGTGGGCAAACGCTTCTGCTCCCTTGCTGTGGAGCTGACTCCGAGTCCTGGCGTCCCCTGTGTGCGCGGAGCAGTAGTGCTCCAACCGCTTCCAAGGCTGGGGCACTTCAACCGCAGACTTCCAGGTCTACTTTCTGAGGTGTCTTTGAGGGGGTTCAAACCACCAACCTTCTGACCAGTAGTCAAGAGTCTAATCATTGAAGCTACCCAGGGAGTCTACAAATGCCTCTAGAGAACATTTAATTAGGTAGCACAACTTCCATCGGAAGAGCTGCCTTAACCCTGCACTCAAAGTTCGCCACAGATGATACCTGGATACTTCTTGAAAACAGCACAGCATTCAAGGCAACCACCTTGAATCAAGCTAGGCTACTTTCTACATTAAAGAAGACCGGAAAGAGTACTTTTGGTTTAAGGTCTAGTGATATAAGGTATAATGATTATCTCAGAACAAAACTTTTTGGGGGTTCATCAAGGCTCAATGGCTCCAAAAATTTTGGATTTCATGAGGATTTGAAATTCTATTCTGCTTTTTTCCAAAGGGGGGTATTTGTTCATGAGTTTACATATGAAGCATGCCAGGAGGGACAAAAAGTACCTCTAGCTGGATAAGGAATTAATTATAAAAGAGTAATGGGTCTTATCGTGGGAAACGCTGAGGGCCTATGGTTAGAGGGAGAGGTAGTTAGGGATTACAATTATTGAGAGGTCAGGTGACAAGAGAGATCTGGCTGTGAGAAACAGGGTAAAAGGGAACCACTAACAAACAAAGGCCAAACTCCTTGCCGTTGAGCTGATGCGGACTCATAGCAATCTTAAAAGACGGATCCTAAACTGCTCTTGGGGTGTCCTAGTTGTAACTCTTTAGGCAAGTAGAATGCCCTCCCTCCATCTTTCTCTCAAGGAGCGGTAGGAGGTCTTGAACTGGGGCCAGAATTAAAAGACGCGGTGACAGCAAACTCTGAAGGCCACAGATTGGCTTCATGAGAACGCGTCTGTAGCCCAATAAACCCGTGCACCACTTGAAACCTCCACAATGAAAATATAATTCATCAAATGGAAACAGACAAGAAATAAACAGACAAACAATTCTTAGAAACCATAAAGAGGAAGGGCAACTTCTGAGTACAACTTCTGAGTAAGTTACATTTGATCAGAGACATGAAAGATGAGTCAAATGCAGTTAGATAGTGAGGGTTGGGGAGAGAAGATTCTAGATGAACAAGACAGTACAGAAGACAAAGTAGTTTAAGATTCAGTGTGGTCATAGCTGAGAGAGAGAGAGGGGAGGTAGCAGAGAATTATCTGATTGTTTTAAGGGAAAAATAATAAAAAAATAAGGAGGCCCATTGAGACTTTTGAAGACTGTTAAGAATTCATGCAAGAGTTGTAAACAAGGGAGGTATTTGATGATTTATATTTGCAAGACATTTCTGGTGAGACAGGAGAGAATTTAATGAAGAGAAGGGTCAAGGTTGACATGTTAAGACATGCAGACTTCTGTCAAAATAGTTTGAGGAGAGGGGGAGAATATGCCGATACACTCATTGTTTTTCTTTTCTGTTGTATTATTTAAATTCCATCTTCATGACAGCTTGAGACTTCTTGTTATGGACTGCACTCTTAATTTTTAAAATTCTTCCCCCACATAACAGTTATATCATTAAATGGGTTTTTGTGTGTGGGGATTATTGTGAAATAAAATATGCTAACAGAATGATAACCAGGTTCAAAATTTACTGTTTATGCATGCTTAGAAATCTTAGCAATATCTAACCATGTAATACTCTTGCAACTGCTTAACCCATAAAATACTTATAAAAATAGGAGGTTCATTGTTGTGTAAATATTGTATTCAAGAAGGTTTTCTTTTGGTTCCGCTGAGATTAATTGACCTGGCAATTCATGGAACATAAGAAACAAATGATGAAGCATCCTTGGTCTTACTCTACTTCTTCATTGCTCAAACAACAACAGCAAAATGCCTTCAGAAGCCAGTTAGTAGCATAACCAGGGACCCTGCTCTCTTTCACGCTTTGCAAGATACTGTCTGGGAGAAAATGGTTTATAGATTATGGTATAAGGACATAGAAATAAAACTTCATGTCTGTGGATGCAGAGAATTGAACCTTGTCAAACTGGACAGTGTGTATGAAAGAATAGAGGAGGAGGAGGAGGAAGAGGAGGATAAGAAAAAGAAAGGTGTCCATATGCAGCATGAAGGTATCTGGCATGTGTGGTACAAATGCTGAGTGTATCATTAATTCCCTCCCAAATCAACACTAATCTTCATCTTCAGTCCCTAAAAATGGAATCTTTCTTTGACAAATGGAATTGACCACTTAGAGGTCAATTCTTCTTGATAATTAAAGTTATTCCAAATTAACTAGAATGGTATATTATTAAAAGATTTTGCCTCTATTTAATACTTTTCTTTTATCTTATTTGATATATTGAATAATATTCAGGGAGTTAGAAAGCATCCATAATAACTCTCCGTTTCTCCACCATCCTGTGTGGTTCTCTTGCATTTTTGCAGTGCCTTCTCATGAGACTTTGAGGATTCAGAGATAACTGGCCAAGAAACTAAAGCAGAATCGCCCGATTCCCCAGTGAATTCAAATGAAAACTCATAAAAGCATCAGGTACAACTGCAAGAGAAGACATTATAGGGGAACCCAGCGGGGTCTGTAAGGAGTCACCCGTGTCCCAGGTTTAAAAGGTCATCACCACCCGATTAATTGGACCAGCATTGGCAAACATTTGATTTCTTCCTTGGATTTTATGATTCCACATGAAGAGGGCGACAGCTCTTAAATATGTGAGCCCTTTTAGATCGAAACAGGATGGGCTTTCTACTCCAGTAAACCGTCTCAGAAAGTCACAGTGCACAGTTCAACCCTGTCCTGCGAGTTAGCATTGACTTAATGACAGGAAGTTAGATTCGAGTTTGGATTGAGAAAAAAAAGCGTTGATAATATAGGAGGGATTTTGTCATTAAAGTAGCAGTCTGGGAATATAAACTGTTGCTTGTAGTACATTAAAAGAAAAATCCATTATTTACCGTTCTGGCAGATTGAACCCGCTTTGTGCTCAGCAGAAACAAAGACCTGGTGATTTGCTCTCATACACTACAGACTAGGAAACCCTATGGGACGGTGCTCGGCTGACTCTGGAGAGGGTTCCTATGAGTCTGAACGGACTTCTGGTACACACCAATCCATCCTAAAGCTCATCTATGTCGAGCTCAATGCAGCCCAATGAAAATCCTGGGTTTTACTACACTGCCTTGATACTTTAAGTGGTCACGTGCTGCATGAAAGCAGCTCATTAAAGTACCCCTTCATCCATTTAACAGATATTTATTGAGTACCCCCTCTACGTAAGGCACTGGCTAGACTTTGGTTCTCTGGTGGGAAACAGAAACATGAGTTCCAACAATAGGAGAAATATGACATAAAAACAATATACAGTTTTCAAAATATTGTTTAGGTATCCTTTTTCATGTGGCTATTTCTCTTTTTCTTTCACCTATCTCTGAAAATGTCAGCAAACTGTCTCCATGGTCTTAGTTATTTTCACTTGAAAATTCATTAGGGTCAAATTGTATAATTCATCCAAATAAAGAAAGCTTTGATTCTCAAATATTATTTTTTAAAAGCAACGTTGGTCCTAATTGAGGACTACAAGGCATAGTTCTTGGGACGATAATTGATTTTTAAAAAATCTGTTCGCCTCATGCAATTCAGGGTAGAACTGACTGAAAATGCTAAAATAGCACGTCTGTCAGTCACATTCACCCACTCCATGTAACGTGGTCTAAACGCGAACAATTTGAAAGTGATACGAACAGAGCGGTTAATCTGGAAATCATTCCTAATTTTCAGATATACACATTTAATAAAATGGTAGCAATCACTTTTAATGTAAGCTACCCTTTTGGACTGTGTATCTGAAAGCTAATGCTAGCAACCACAGTGATCTTCAGGATTGTGATCAAGGTCATGAATATGGCTACTTCCTTTGATTCAAGGAATATTTTTCTAACGGTTCATTGAACTAACATGGCTCATTTTTATGGCATACCTAGAGCAGATGTGGAGGCTGTGTTTGTGCACTTTAAGCACTTAAACCCCTCAAGAACTTCCAGAGAAGGTCTGAGTGAAATGCAAACTGTTTGTCACCTTTGACATAGACTTTGTGAAAACAAAATGGGGAAACAAATCTGAATTCGGTAAGGAAGAACATATCGGGAGAGTTTTTCTTAGTGTGCTCTGACCAAACCGCCTCCTACAGGAACCTATCCTTCCACCTTTTTCACCCTCTTCTTTGGGTCACCGTG